AGGTCTGCCTGGCGATGTCTCGGTCTGCTTCAGTGTGCACGAAATGGGAGGTCGTCGAAGCGGGTCTACTGGTTCTACCCTCGTGGAGGCGGCCGTGAATCCCACAAAAGTTCGGACTGGTGTGGATAGAGTGGGCGCCGGTGTGTCAGAATGCCTGGGGTTGGGAGTGAGTGCTGGTGTGTCAGAATGCCTGGGGTTGGGAGTGAGTCGGCGTGACCGGGAAGAAGACGATCGGAAATCGTTATCGCCCGAGGCAGCAGCAACTTTTCGAACCGCACTAGGTAAGCTAGGTTGGGTAGCTCAGTCGAGACCTGATCTTTGTTGGTTGCGTTCGATGCTTGCCCGGGGTCAATCTCAGCCGCTAGCTGTACACGAGACTGCGATGCGTGCGAGTATCCGTTACATCCGATCAGTAGCCGATCGAAAGTTGAAATTCAGAAGCTATGAGTACTCAGGACCACCAAGGATTACGACCTATGTCGATGCCAGTTGGGCAGCCGAAAAGTCCACAAATAGGAAGAGTACTTCAGGAGCAGCCATCTTCGTTAGTGACTGTTGCGTCAAAGCATTCAGTAGGTTGCAGCAGAGTGTAGCCTGTAGTTCAGCCGAGGCAGAGCTATATGCTTTGTTCGAGGGAGCGAAAGAGACTATAGGTATTCAACATGCCGTGGCACACGTCTATGGATGTCAAGCTGAGGAATTGCCCATTCCAGGTTTGCTTACGGATTCGATGGCAGCCCGAAATGTCACAGAGATGTCAGGGTTGTTGAGAAGATTGAGACACATAGACATTCGGATCTGTTTTTGCAAGATGCAGTGTACAAGGGAGTGATTTCCATCAGCTTTGTCCGAGGCACCAAGAATTGTGCCGACTTGATGACCAAGGCATTGTCGAGAGCTGTGACTTTACAACATATGGAGACGATCGGAGTTGTCACATCATTTCTCATTTCATTCGAAGTGCCGTATGACTGGATCGGGAGATGGTTGTGGGTCATGGATAAGGTCACATGTACCGAAATCCTGATGGTTGAGTTTTGCACATCACCGGAGTCCGAGATGAAAGAAGTCGGTGTTGAAGTCTTGACTGTCACTGAGGCGGATGACGGAACCCGATCGGACACGATCGAGTCAGTTCGGGAGCAGATGATGAGCCATCGAAAGAGAGGAAAGCTCGTTGTCTTGTGGTCGTCAATTCCGTGTAGCGGAGGATGTCCGTTTCAGTATATTTGCATCAAGAAGTTTGGTCAGGACTGTATGGGTCATCTTCGAGAGTTGTACCAGATTCAGAAGAAGCTATGGAAAGGTTTCTTACGGATGTCGGAAGTAGCCGATTTCGTAGCGATTGAATGGCCGAAGAGATGTGCTTATTGGGGATGGAATCAGACTAGAGATTTTCTGAGGAAACGAAAGACGTTTTCAACATTTGTGGATGCTTGTTCAGTCAAGTTGAACCAGAAAGGTCAGTTGATCAGAAAGACCTGGAGGATTGAGACAGATAGTACTCGGTTGTTGGAAAGCCTGAAGGTTTGCGTTTGTGATGGTCGTCATGATCATTTGCCGTCCAAGGAAGTCAATTGGAAGGAAACGCAACACTACCCCAGGAGACTTTGCGAGCTAATCCTTAAAGGATTTAAAGCCGAATTAGGATCCTAATAGCCAAGTAAGTCTTGCACGTTGTCTGAGCCGAATGGCACGTTTTTGCGAGCACTTTCGATTGCACATTTCGAAAGAATCTGGGTTTTGCAGACTGTGAGATACAGCTTTTCTTGGAATGAAGCTTCTACCATCCGAGGTATGATGCCGGATGTGGAAACGGCGCTTGCGGCGCTGAGCCTGGAAGCAGCGACCGCTCTGGTCTTTGCAGCTGGTTTTCTTTTGGGACGCCTGCTGACCTGCTGCTGCCTGCGGTGTCGGAAGCATGCTGAGCCTGAGAGCCAAGTGACTTTTAAAGTCGATACGCCGAAGGGCTATCCAGTTCCAAAAGGCATTGAGCAATGCTCAAAGGTATATTTTTCAGTGAGTGGGAGCAAGGTTCATTTGAATCCAACTTGCTCGGGCATGCACGTACCTATGTCGAAAGATATTTGTGCCAAATGTCTGTCCTCATTGAAGAAGAATAAGAAGGCTTAAAGCCAGCCAGTTCGTTTCGAGCTTTGTGTCCAAGAGGGGGTGAAGAAATTCCATGTCGGGATGTCCACCTCGCTCGATGCTTGCAGTTTGCGATGCATAAATATCGTTTAAGTTTGTTTGTGAAAGATTTGGAACCTGGCGGTAGTACAACATTTTGTTTCTTGATTGTTTGAAAGAGACTTGTAGCGTAGTCGGAAGTTTTGAAAGAGTTCTTTGTATGTGGAGATACTTTAAGAGACTTTTAATATGTTCTTCGTGTGTTCTTTGTATAGTTTAGTGCTACGGGATATGTTTTGGCTCAAGGCCAATTCGTTTGGCTAGTGTGAGAAAAGGGTGCGAGTGTCTGAGAGCAGCTTGTGCAGCGTTTGAAGTTTTCCGAAGTGTTCGGAGGTTTGAAGGAAAGGTTTCGTACCGTACCGGACGAGTGTGAGAGCCTGTTGTGAGCTAAAGATCCAGGGGAGGTAGTCTACCGTGTAAGGTTGCTACCCGATCTTTTTCGACAATGGCATACCGGTCATGTGGCATTATCCCTGGTTGTTGCTGGCTCAACATATCTACTCTGTCTGTTTGAGCCGAATAATTGCGCAAACATATCCAGGATGGCACCCTTAGCAGAGGAAAACAATGGCTAAGGCCACCACTTTCACATGATTCCCTGGGCAGGTGGCGGCTCGGTCCCCTTCACGGACCCCACCTTCGTGGTGGAGGCGGTGGGGGCGGCCGGTTGCGATGAGCGGGGCGGGCAGTGGAGGATGAGCTGCCTGTGCCGCCAGGAGGGGCGATGCGTCGGGCTTTGTGTCGGCTGGCGCTTTCGTCTCTGGTGCCCGTGATCTTCTCCCGCAGTTCCTTTCGTGGGGAGCGAGAGCGAGTCCTGGTATTGTAGCTGGTCAATGGTGGCGGTGCCCAAACTCCTTGCGCGGATGGGGGGTGAGATGGTGGCTGAGGCCTGGTAGCTGGACGTTGAGGTGGACCAGGAGCCGGAGCGTGGCCGGCAGAACTCTTGGAAGTGGTGGTGGGCCGCTGGGGGAGGCGTTGTGTTGGCGCCGCAGTGGAGGCCGGATGTGGAGGGGGATGTGGGGTGGGAACGGTGATATTAATGGACGATGGACAAGAGGTCGGGGCCTTGGCCTTGGTAGGCGTGGCTGTTGGGAATCGTAGGATTGGACGGTGTGGGAGCGCCAGCATGGGTTGGAGTGGTGTCCGTGGTGCCAGTGGGTGGAGTTGAAACTGGAGCGGTAGCTGGAGACGTGCTGAGTGACGTGGTGAGTGGCGGCGGTGGAGTCGGTGAAGGAGCCAGTATTGGTGAAGGAGCGGTAGGTACGGTGGGTGTTGCCGGGGGGTGAATTGAGGGATTGTTCTCATGGTGAGCTGGTACTGGCTGAGAACTCGCAATAGGGGAGCCTGTGGGTGCAGCAGCCTGATCGCTTGTGGCCAAGTGGGTGAGTGGGGCGGTGGTGTAACAAGGGGGGCTGGTAGACCCCAAGTTGGAGTGGGGTCGGGCTGTTGAAAGGGTTGCGGCTGAGTCGAAGTGGGAATGGATTGGATCGTAGGTGGGAGCTGAACAAGGTGTACTGACGAGGTGAGTGGCTCATATGTGGCTGAAGCTGAGGGACTTGAAATTGCATTGTTGGCATCGATCCATAAGGAGCCGAAGGAGCCGTCAATGATGGTACTCGTCATCGGTGAAGCCTGAGGATCCACTGGTAGTTCATGGCGAACTGGAGGGAAGAAGACAGGCTGAATGTTGCACCTAGTGCCATGTCTGAGTGCTGAGCCCCGCCCGTGACTACTTAGACACATGCTCGCACGACGATGCAAATCCGGATCAAAGTTTGAGTCTCAGTGAGCCCTGCGGCATAGTATCAGTAATATCGAGCAATGACAGCAAATCAGAAGGAATCGAACGAAATGACAAGGTGGAAGCAATCCCCAGGATCTGGGTCTATGCACACGCGGCGCCCCTCGAAGGGGATCACACCACAGCCCCAGTGGGACTCTGTGGCGATACACACTTAGATGGTTGCTCGCAAGAGCTAGGATCAGTATGAAGTCCCATTTTACACGCATTAGACCTTGACTGAAAAAAGCGCAAAAAGGAAAGGTGATGGGTCCGCGGATTTGAAGGTGTTATAACCATGTTTTGGGATTGAACTGCTGGAGGCCTTCGAGCTGGGTTAAAAATTCGAGCAGGTACGTCGGTGAGCGTCCCCACCGATATCAGTGTTCAATGCAAGCCTCTTCGTTGGGCTGGTACTTGCATGAACAACCAGCCCCCCTGCTGCTGTATAGTAGGGAATTGTTGGAAACAGTCCAGAGTAAAAAGATCAAAAAAGTCGTAAGGTGGAGTTTGAGAAATCCTTGGAAACAGGCGTTGACACACACACACTCACAGACACACAAATACTCCAAAACATTCCAAAACCGCAAAACCTCGTGAACAATTTACGTTTGCAGACTTCCCACAGCTCCTTGCAGTCTGTGCAGCTTGCACATCCTGGTGTACTTCAGCGACTGCAGTACACGTTCGGTTGACATGGGGCCACGCCAAGATGGATGTAAATACTACGAGTCTACGAGTCTATTCCAAATGTCCAGGCTTCTTGGCCACAGCCAAGGGCCTCTTCCTCAAATACAGAGCCACGCAGTAGCTGCGGAGTTTCAGTCTCTGGGAAGATCCACTGCAATCCACAGTGCAAACAAACATGCTGCCATTCCACTCCTTTATACTGTGATCAAAATTCACAAAACCATCGAAACACTTTGCATGTCCGCTTCTACTGAAACACCTATGCACCTATGCAATGTGACTTCTCGGTCATCTGTCTTGCACGTCTCGTACATCTGTCTTGCCAGCTGAGGCTCCTGACGCTTCGAGATTGTCAACCCCAAAGTCAAAATCATGATTGCCATAGCATGCTGTGTGAATGCCTGAGAGGCTGCCCACTCACACGAGTTCGAAAATCACAACACCTTCCAACTCCGGAGCTCTGAAAGGAATCCTCTGTGTTCACACCTTCTTCGCGGCGATCTTCATTCTCGTCAAGTCGGAGCCCATTCGTGCTTCGCAACTCCCAAGGAACCACTGCAGAAACACCGAATCCGAACCAGTCGTCATTGGGCGAACCGAACCAATCGCATTCAGGGCCTTGATCATGTGCCTGGCGCAGGAACGCCACACTGTTAGAGGACTTGCAGAAGAGTCGCCATGCTGCTACCACCTTGAGAATACCCCAAATGGCACCAAAGATAAGATACAGTACCTCTTCGGAATGCCCAATCCGCAGGAAAATACCCATGGCCCATGGAACTCGGAATTCCATACCCAAGCAGCATGCTTCCCAGGGAAACCGTCCCGAACGAAGCTTTCTGCGTGACCTTGAATCCTTTTGAAACCATTGAGCGCACTCACGCAGACTGAATCAGCATCGAAATCCAATACCATGCCAGACACACTTACCATGCGTGGTGGTGGACCTCAGTGGCATGGTCGATCACTCCCCTTGGTCTCATCCTAAACTACACCAACTGTCACCGTTCTTCCACATGCACAATAGAACCTTCTCAAAAGTCGGGGAGGAGTTGTTCAGGATCGCAAACGCATAAACGAGCTGCCCAAGCTATCAACTACCCCTAGCACGCTAACTTCCTTGACATCTTTTGGTTTTGCTAGAGATCATAAGTCTTTCTTCGTCATAGGCCCTAAAATGCACATGGTGATTCCAAATCTGCATTCTCAGCCAGGTCACATCAGGGATGGATTGAACGCATCTCCACTGAAAAGGACCACAGCCTGTCTTTGGCAATGGCAAACACTCACTCGAAACAAACCAAGTCCTGTCAATCCGATATGCAGGAGACAGCACAGCAGGTCATCAAAACTGGACACTCTGTGGAGGCAATAGGGTCACTGCAGAACAAACTTTGAAGGGTAACGTTAAAACGAGGGCCCAATCCTCCTTCAAACACTAGCCAATCTAATGGGTGAGGTGGGGGTCGGGGTTGAAGGTGGCAACAGGTTGTGAAGAATAGGAACGGCAACTCAACCGTCAGCCAATCTAGTGAATGGGGTGGGGGGTCAGGGTGAAGGTGGCAATAGGTGCGGAAGCTGTCTCGGTCAACAGGCCCAAGGACACTACGACCCCTGTGGCCAACCAACAAACAGTGCCCTCAAGCAAGGAACAATGTTGGCTACTAGGGGCTGGCATCGCACTAGGAGCAAACACGCTACTAGGTAGTCTTACTACTATGGACTTCAAATCGACCCTTGAAACCGCGTTCGATTGCGGCCCCTGAAACCACGTTCGGAAGCAACCCCTTCACCTTGAGGGGACATCATTCCAGGAAGCAAAAGCGCAGACATCGTTCCCTGTGTGGCTAAGTCAAGTGAGCCATATCACCATATCATACGTATCACTCAGTAGCCAAAGGGCCAAAGAGCTAATCTTCCACAACCTTCCAAAAGAGTGCCCGTGTTATTGGATGTCGTCTTGAAGTTGAGGAGTATAGTGATCCCCAAAAAGATAGAAAAGTCGGATCCTGGAAAAGTTTAGGTCAATTTCCCATATCGGACAACGGTTCTATCTTTTGTTTCGTGCTGCTATTTACACAAAGTTGTCAAAATCACACAACATGACCGATGTCACACGTGCACAATCTTGTGTAAATACCAGGGAGAAACAAAAGATAGAAAAGTTACATCCTGGAAAATGTTAGCCGGTTTCAATCAACTTCAAGACAAATTGGGCCAGACATGACAGCTTTTGCCGCAGATACCAGCACGATACAAAAGATAGAAAAGTTCAGATTATATAAAAATCTCATACTTCCCCGCTATTTGCACAGACATGTTCACGTGTGACCACACTGCAAAACATTCGCTGCAAGTGTATCCGGATTCCTGTATATATACATATACCTTCATATACCCTCATTCTCTGTGTTTGCTGTTGGAAAGGGAGCGACGGGCGGAGGGTTGGTACCTATTTCACACACCTCACTCAACAAAACAGCATCAGCATCCATGAGAATCATGGACACAAGATTTGTTCCCTCTTTTCCATCTTTTGTATCCCCATGCTGTTTGCACGGGACACACTCATTTGGATTGTCAGACTCAACAGAACCAGGCCCAAATATATACATTCAAAAACCTCAGCGCCTCCCTAAAACTGGGCATACCAGCCAATTACTAAGTGGTACACACGTTTCCATCTTTTGTATCCCCATGCTGTTTGTATGGCCACACTCCAGTTTGCATTGTCAGACTCCGCAGAAGCAGGCCCAGATACTTGGCAGTTTACAGTGTTTCTATCTTTTGTATCCCTATGCTGGTTTTTATGTTGTTTCTTCTTTCCGTCTTCTTCTTTCTTCTGGTTCTTCTTCTTTGTTGTTTCTTTCTTCTTTTTCCTTCCGTTTCTGTATTTCTTCTTTCTGTATTCTTCTTGCCTTCTTATTCTTCTATATTTGTGTGGTTCCTTTCTTTTGCTGTTTCCCTTCAACCCATGCGTAACTCATACATTCAACAAACCTCAGCACCTGCCTAAAACCGGGCATACCAAGCAATTACTCAGCGGTAGAAACTTTTCTATCTTGCTGTTTGCATGGCCACTCTCCACTTTGCATTGTCAGGCTCAGCAGAAGCAGGCGGCCCAGATACTTGGCAGTTTACAGTTTTTCTATTGTTTGTATCGCTATGCTGTGTGCTTCTTCTTCTTCTTCTTCTTCTTCTTCTTCTTCTTCTTCTTCTTCTTCTTCCTCTTCCTCTTCCTCTTCCTCTTCTTCTTCTGCTTTCTTCTTTCTTCTTTCTTCTTTTACTGTATGTTTATCTTTTCTTCTTATTTTTCCTTTCAACCAATGCATAGCTCATACATTCAACCAACCTCAGCGCCTGCATAAAACTGGGCATACCAGCCAATTACTAAGTGGTAGACACTTTTCTATCTTTTGTATCCCCATGCTTCTTGCCACCAAGAGAGCAAACATCCAGCCAAACATTGAAGTAACTTAAAGCAAGAAAACAAGAAGACACACCACCTGAACCCGCAAATAACAAGGGAGTAGGTGCATTTTGCACAACTTGTGGGCAACCTGAGCCTTCAAATCATAAGGAGTGTGCTGCCACAAGCACTAGAATTGACGTACTGAAAATTTGGTCGTGAAGATCAGTGAGGAGGAAGACGCTGTTTGAGCTCTGCATTCACTTTCTCGTACTCTTGCGCTTCTTCAAATTCTTCCCCGTAGCTGTTGAAGTCTTCAGTGTGCCAGTACCAATCATACACTTCGTCACGTTCTCTTCTCAATCTATGTACTTCACTCTCTTGATGTTTGATATCTTCTTTCAAGCATGAGTGATCCTCCTCATCGGATCGAGAGGTTGGTAACCCTCGTCCGTCTCGGCTATCGTCTCTCATTGGGCCGTGACGCATCTCAGTCTCAGCCTTCATCTTTGCGTTCTCAGACCTCGCTTCCACAAGTTTCTTTTCGGCAATATGTTGGTTCTTGTCAAGTTCTTGGAACTTCTCCTCAAGTACCTTCCTTTCTCTACTATCAGTCGTGGAGGCTCTCAGGAGATTTTCCTTCTTCAATATTCTGTTGGCCTCGGCAAGGGCAAAGTTGGCTTCTTTCAGCTGCGGCTGTTCCTCCTTCGACTGCTTCTGTAGTTCGGTTGCAGCTTCTTCTATCGTTTTTGTTGCTTCAGACATCACTCTGTACTGAAACTGTTTCGCTCTCATCTCCTTTTCATTGATCTCCAATGTGTATCCGTGCATCTCCGTCTTGTGTTCCAAGTCACGATGACCGATCTCTGCGATCATGTTCATCTCTGATCCTTTGATGGCCGCCAGTTGTCCACGAAGGTGTTCAACCATTCTCTGTTCTTCATGCTGATGACCAATAGTCTCAGCGACCTCATCGGCCAACTGCATCTGATGCACTTCACTACTCCATTGCCTCTCTCTCTCTCTCCCTCTGAGCTACCTCCAACATGTTGCTATTCTCATCCTCCAGCGTCAGCATTCTCATTTGAAGCTCGTTGGCAACGTTCATGATCGCCTGGTCTTCTTCACTGAGATTCTCAGCTCGCCTGTTGTAGGTATCAGAAGTTTGGTTTCTGTTCCTGGATGTAGTGGAATGCACCTTGCATCTCGGTGGTCATATCCTCCATCTTGGATCTTACTTCTTCAAATTGAGAGTGTTCCTCATGATTCTCGTGAGCGAGTTCTTCGTACTTCATGTAGATGTGGTCCGCAAATGACTCAGCAAGTCGGAGCTTCTTCTCGAGTTCTTCAATGCGTATGGTTGCTCCTTCATCCTCTTGCATCATTTCTTGCAGGTGTGTGTGTGTGCATAGTCATATTGCATTTCGTCAAGTGCGAGAATTCCTCCTGTGATTCAGCGTGGAGTCTCGTATATTCATCATGCAGACAGCTGTACTCATCATTTAGGTACTCTTATGATACTCTAGCCGATCGGAGTTCCTCCATGAGTTGCATTTCTCTTTCTTCAAAATCTTTGGCATCTTCGATCTCAACTCTCTCAGTATCTCTCTTCGGTGATCTTCTTGTCGTTGTTCTCGGTGATGTAGATCTTGAAAACCTTTTCATGACTCTCTTTGCGTTGCCCATCCTTACATCGGATCCAGCAGATGTCGTCTCCGGGGGAGCGACTCTGCCTTCGCCTGCAACTTGTGATCCCGTTGGCATGGTCATTATTGCATCAGCAGAGCTTGCACCGGTCAGCGAACCTGGCAATGACTGCGATGCAGCTCCTCCTGGCGCGGCGAAAGAGAATTATCCACTGCTCTTTCCTCCAGAACTCGACATTGCAGGTTCAGTATTGACATTTGTAGTAGTGGTCTCTCACAAGCTCGTAACCTCAGAGCGGCTACGGCTGATAACCTGCGTGTGGATATTAATCACTTCAAGTGGAAGTATGCAGTGACTATCCTTATACCCATCCAATGAGGCAGCCGTGCACTTGTTTTACTGCTCTCTATGGGCGTCTTGAGCCAAATGTTGGCAGTTCACGCTGTACTGTTCTATACAATTATATAATGTGGTTGTCGCTCCACTGCTATTGACATACATTGACAGCAGCTTGCCATAGCGCCATCAAGCTTATCCATAGATTCTGATCAGGCGCTGTCAACGGCTCTGAATCTATCCAAACCCTTCAGCAACTGAGCAAGACAGGACTTTGACAGCCTCACTGCAGCAAAGTTGGATGACAAGAAAGGATGGGAGCAAGAATATCATAAAGATGCCTCCAATCTCAGACAACAGATCGACCCACAAAATCTCCCAAAAGTCGCCTTGCCTCATATTCTCCTCGAGCCACCGATTCCGCCTGAATCCGCAGGCCGGCGACAGACGGGCGCATTGTAGGCACACAAACACGCGCGATCTGGCGGCAACGGCTTTCGTCCGACCTTCAACTCCTTGATGCGGGTGACGAAGCGGGAGATGCCACCAACCGGCTCCTGGACGGCAAGGAGGAAGTTCAGACGAATAGAGGGATGAGATGATGAAAAAAACTGACATCATTTGGAAGGCAATCATAGCATGCACTTAGGTGTGTTTCACTTGTTTTTTTCGACGTGGCTCGAAGCACTTCAATTCACTCAATATTTGCTGCCTAACGTCTTTTCCACCCGTTGAGATCTAAGAAGATAAACCCGGCAGTTGAACAAATTTGAGCCGCAAAGGGCACAGTGACTACGCACGGACACATCCTTCCCGCCTTTTGAGGACAACATACTCTCCGTCCTTGGCCCTTGGCTCCACATTGTAAACGTCGTTGAAGTGCAAGATGGTCATGGTTTTGGGCCTTAGCCAATCAAGGCTCGAGAGATCTATTTGTATTAATTAGTATATAAGAGTTCTTAGTTCCCAACTGTTTCTCGGTTTGTGGAGCATCTCAGACTACTTTGAATAACCAAGCAGCTTCTCTCCGCCAGACGTCTCCGTGGTCCAGTTCGTGAGTTTACGCCTGCGGAGAAGCTGCGTAGATCGAACGGACCGATGGATTCGATATGTGTTCAATCGATTCCAATCAGCAAGATGGTAGCGTCCTTGTTACTACTAGTAAGGCACTTGTTACAAGTAGCGATGCACTTGTTACTAGTAGCGATGCACTTGTTACTAGTAGCTTCTTGGACTGAGCATTTTTCATCTCGGACGCCCCCAAAAAGGCTGCTGCTTTGGCCGCTGTTAGATTCCCACAGCAGCGCCTAGAGATTCCTCATGGCACTGTTGACGTGAAACATCTTCGAAGTGTCGCTGCACATTGCCAACTCCCTCGACATGTCCAGGAAATCTGTCCTGTCTTCCTCAATAGTATGTAGCCCTGCGAAAGACATGCCCAAGGACACTATCGACGCTGCAAAGATATGGAACTGGGACTTTTGGAAGTCCCCCAAAGAATAGGGCATCCGATGAAAAGCCGAGGAGCAGCGGGCTGATGTTTGATGTTCACTGACCACTAGACCCTACTGGAGGGAACTGTCACATCATCACGAACTCTGTGTTCAGAGCTTTGCCTGGTTGTTCAGAACATTCAGCCCAAAGAGTTTTCCCTGAGTTCAAACTTCAACCGTTTAGGCCGCTGAGCCACCAAGGGAAAAGCTTCGATGCAATCTCTCGAATTAAAATTGCTGCCCCTGGCCTGGTTCCAACGTGATCTCACAATCTTCCTGCACCAAAAGGCTGTCTCATGATACGGGAACCCCTCGCAAAGAAACCCACTAAAGATACTATGTGAAGAATACGAACGTTGGAGGATCCCTTCATGAGACCGTTGCCTTTTCTCATTTTGAGTCTCACTCTTCGCTCTTCAGCGAAGAAAGTCTTGGACTCGAAGCCACACATCCTCACGGTGCTGACCTCAAGAGCAGTGAAGGGAGCAACGAAGGGTGAAGATGTACTTGTGCACCAGTCCCACAGGCTCCTACGAGGTTTCATTCTGATATAGTCTTGCTATATCAAGGAGACCCCGCAGAAATCGAACACCGAGAGTTGCAGCAAGTCTAGAATCTAGAATGTCTACTGTGGATGACTTAGCTCCGTTGTATGGAACACTGCCTTTGAATGTTTGATCCGTTGTTGATGCTGTCTGTCTGAGAGATTGGTCCGTCTAAAATAGCCCAAAAGCAGAAACATACGACGAATGCATGGAACACGCAGGCGCTGCCTTGATCTACACACCTCATTGTGTCTTGAAAAAAGGGTAGACTTGCAAACCAACAATGTTTAGTCAGTTTAGTCCAGATTCCACCAAAGATCCTTGCGAGTCCCTTACATACAGGATATTATACGCACACTCATGTCCTCCTGCCATAGCATGGCAGTCACCACCCTCACACAACAAGGTCCCACCCAGCTCAGCACGAAAAAGTGCCGGGTGGCAGGCTCCGTGGCCGACCGTTGGAAGCCACATGAAGCCTGGGAAGTCAGCCCGGGAACTCAGACGACTTCGGCCATCAAAGGGGAGGTAGAGAAGCCCTAGAGTCCTAGAATCACAAGCCCATGCTTACTTCTTTGGAGTTGGTTTTCTTGCCAATCAGCGAGACTTACGACAAAAGTAATTTGGAAGCAAAGGTCCTTTCTAAATGTTGTGAAATGAGGAAGCGATCCTCTATGCACATGTACAGTGAGAACGGTGAATGATATCCGTTATGCATCGGCACAAGCCCCCCGTCAACCTAGCTGAAAAGGATCGTCATGCCATGTACCAACGTTCACTGAGGGATTCCTCGAAGCTGAGTCTGTCAGTGGTAGCGGAGCTCCTGGATCAGTTATCACGGGGGAACCTGTGATAGCTGTGAAGGGAGCGACGCGGGGGAGAAAAGAAGGACGGAATGAGTTCAGCCGACAAAGACCAGGGCAATACGAAAAGTCTAGAAGTGTTCAACGGCGCAGACGCCAGTGAATACAGGAAATGGAGAAGACGAGCTCAATTGTATCTGATGCCCCTTCCCACGAATGTCCCAGAGAAAAAGTGGGGTGCTAGACTATTAGAGCACTTGAGCGGCGAGGCTGAGGAATTGCTCGAGGCGGTGGATATTGATGATATCACCAAGGAAAGCGGATGGAAGCTTGTCCTGGACACCTTGGACGAGAAATACAAAGAAGCTTCGAAGGATGAGCTGCAACGTGTGATGAAAGATTACTGCTATACCATCTGCGTGAAGGAGGGTGAAACATATCGGAACTTTATCACCCGGCTCGACACGGCCTACAAGGCCTTGGTGAGGAATGGAGTGGAGTTGCCAGAAGAGGTGCGAGGTTGGATGCTACTCAAGAAGTTGGCACTTGAAGCCAACTCAGAATCCATGATCCTCACAGCCAGTCAGGGTTCAGTCAAGTACCAAGAGATAGCACAGGCTGTTCGCAACGTGTTTCCTCATGGCAAGTCATCAAAGAATGCCAGAACGAAGGACATCTTCGTGGCAGAGCAGGAGGTGACCACCATGAAACATGAAGAAGAACGACTACACGAGAGCGAGGCCGAACCCTTTGAGATCATGGAGACCATTGCCAACCAGATCCAGGAGAATGAAGACTATGATTCAGAAGATGCCCTAGACACCTATGAGACCTACACCAATGTGAGACGCAAGATGCAGGAGAAGAAGATCAGTAGGGGATATCGGACACCATCATCCTCATCGACGTCATGGCAGTTGACTGGATCTGTAAAGGGCCGTATCGAGGCTCCCGAGCAGAAGACCAAATGTCATCTATGCAGACGTACTGGACATTGGAAGAAGGAGTGTCCCCTGAAAAACAAGGAGAAAAGCACTGAGAAAGAAGTGCATTGTGTAGAGGTCATGGAGAGCGATGATGACACCTTCGACATCTACACCATTGAGTCCGCGGTGGATGAGAAGTACCAGGAGACCAAGAATGACAAGGGCATGGAGGAAAAGAATGACCAGGTCCCGGAGGAGAAAGAGGACCAGAAGGTGGAGAATATCCAGAGTGGAAAGAAGAGTCACAAGAAGGACTATTGGGAGGTCACTCAGAAAGAGCTGATTCGACACCATGTGAAGACACGAAAAGGGCTGTTCTCACCGGTGGGAATGAGTGACACGCCTGTCAAGATGGAGGACATCTCTGGCAACCGGAAAGTGGAAATCATCTATCTGGATGGTGAGGTGGAGACCTTGGAGGACAACATCTACACCAGCAAGAAACCACATGCAAAGCAAAAGAAGATGTGGACTGGGAAGACCGTTTTGGAGCTCAGGACCACGAATGCGAAGTTGAAGGAAGATCCCATGCGTCAAGCACTCAGCTTTGAGGAACACGAAGTGATGATCACTCAATATGAACAAGATGTACTGAGAGCTGTGAGACGGGGGGCGCATGAAAGTTCTCCTCAAGATTTTGAAATCCATCATACTGATTTGGAGCCCGCAGATCTGTGCGAATATGCAGTGCCAGACACCGCTTGTCGAAAGACTCTTGTTGGGGAAATGATTCTTAGGGGAGTCGAAAAGAGACTGAATCAAAAAGGGTTTAGAGTCATTAGGAGGCATGAGGTGAATGAGTTCAGGTTTGGTAATGCTGGCACCCTCATTTCAGAAGAAGTTGCACAGATTCCCATTTGGCTGGGAGAGCGGCAGGTAGTTGTGCATGCAGCGGTTTTACCTGGAAGTGGATCTCGTACTCCTTTCTTGTTTTCGAAAGAGTTGTTGAAACAGTTGGAGTGTGTGTTGGACATGAAGAGGGATTTGCGTGGTTTTCATAAATTGAGCGAAACTCCAATCAAGTTGAAACGTACTGCTCGTGGTCATTATGCCATTCCAGTGCTCGAGGCACCCGGTCGACAAAAGAAAGTCCCAAGTGATCGTCGTGATGACCAGCCAATTGGCCAAGGATCTGATGGAGGATCTGATGCAGGAAGAGACCACCCCGAACGACTTCTTTGCGAGCAGTCGCCTGGACGAGGCGAGCGACTATTCCGAGGACGAGGCGGAATGTCCCCTGATGGGTACAGATCTCTGCGAAGCAGGCAAGTTCAAGGGCAAGAAGAGCTATGCCCAGGTGTATCGCGAAGAGAAAAGCTATGTGCAGTGGATTCGCAGCCACATCACCACCAAGTCCTGTGCAGGGATGAAGAAGCTTCGCCTCTACATCGAGTGCCTGGACAATGCGAAGAAGGAGCGCCTTCAGATCATGTGGCAGGAAAAGAAGGCAATGCAGCCAGAGAAGGCCGGGAAGAAGCAAATGCCAATTCTGCACAAGGCCAAGAGCAAGAACCCCTCGAAGGCTCGAGGAAGTCAGGAGACCAACGAGGAAGCCATTCAGGAGGCAGCAGAGAGAATCCTTGCCAGGGTGAACCACTTGGCAAATCCTCGAACTCGCAGCCGCGAAGGTGGAGGATGGATTCACCAGTTCGACGAGGAGAATGGCATGGAACAGGAAGAGGATTGGAACAGCGAGATCACGTCAGACTGGGAAGCAGTGGCAACAGCCAATGCACAGCCGAAGACCAGGCCTTACAAGAGCAAGTGAGCCACAGCACTGATGGCAGTGGCAACAGTAGATCCTTGGCACCAGAGGAAATTGAATTTCTCACTGGTGAGTTGGAGAGGGTTTGGACTGGAGAGTCCAATGGAAGAGAACAAGTAGATGTTTTGATTATCACTCCGGCTCAAGAGGCCAATGCTACTGTGGCCGAAGTATTTTCAGTGCCACGTCTTTGTAAACTGGCTGAGGATGCCGGTTTGAAAAGCGCAGGATCATATGATATCCTTACCGGCTGGGACTTCCGCAGCAGTCAAAAGAGAGAGGAACTTCGTGACAAGTTGGAAATCATGAGACCCCGCCTTTTGATGTTATGTCCCCCTTGTGGAGCGTCATCCCCGCTTCAGCAGTTTAACAAACACCATGATTTGAAGAACTGGTTGAAGCAGGTCAGTGAAAGCAGACTTTTTCTTCGATATAGCATGCAGTTGGCACGTGATCAAATTAGAAGGGTTGATC